ACTGCATCTAGTCGTGGCAGGCGAGTTGGGCTTCTGATGTGCGGTTAAGCAATAACGTGATTGCACCCGCTGGAGGGGATGCTGGTGGATCATGCGAGCCAAGTCCTGGGCCGGGAGAGCGGACGCTGGGAAGCGGACATCGGCTGGGCGGGAGCCGACTGGTGAGCGTTTCAGCATAGTCACTAGGGAGAACGCTAGAAGTGTTTGGTCGTCGAGTCAACGTAGAGCGTTTGTTAAAATATCTATAGGGTGGGTTCGGGTGGGAACGAAAAAGAATGGCGCCCGAGCGCCTTGTAAAAAAGCTCCTCCGAGTTCCAACAGGAAAGAAGGAAGGAGCTGTGCGTTTCGTCGAAGATGTGCTTCAATTACATCGAACCTTGACCGTTCGATGAATTCGTCTCGCGATGCGCCAATCAGTGCGCAGTCCACTAGCTGGTGCCAGTGGAGCAAAACGTACAAAGTTGACGAGAAAAGTTTGGGAGAATTTTCGTCGGACGGTACCGGGCGCACAATAGCTGCGGATGGTACCAACCCTCACATCGCGTGCGGTACCCATCCTTGCCAAGCGCAGAAGTAACCGGGCACTATGAGTGACATTAGGGTTTATAGGTCACAAGGTAGTGACAGTATGTTTGGGTTACGCCACTACTGTGACGGTTTGTTTGGGTCGCGTCCCTTCCCTGTGACTGCTCTCAGATTAGGGTTCCCACTAACGGCTAAGCCACTGACCTTAGGGTTTTCGTTCGGTTTGGTGTTAGCCGGGCACTTTTCCGGCGTCCGACAATGGCGTCCGTGTCCGATTCTCCCAAATTTTATTCGTCAACTTTGTGCCTCTTGCGCCAGTGGAAGGAAGTTGAAGGCTTGGAAGTTGGAGCAGTATTTACTTGGATCGGATTTCCAAGACCTCATCTTTTCCAAAAGTTGACACTCCAAGGAAAGCAATATCACAAAGTGGTTCAGTTGGTAGATTTGTGTCAAATGATTCAACATGTCCTTAACACCCACACCTTCCTCATCCTTCTTCGCTACCCAAGTTTCAAGTTTCTTGAGTTCTCTCTCGAGTCGAGGTGCGTTTCGAGGGCGCAAAAAACCCGCCCGCTGTCACAATACGGTGCATGGAAGGTCACGGCGCTGGATAGGCAAGCGGAGCGGACCAAGAAGTTCAGAGTAGGAGCATAAGTGTTGACCACCCCGCACTTCGTTCTACCTTCAGCGCGATCCACCGCCCGTCGCAGCCATGCCGCGCGCCAAGAAGAAGACCACCGGGCTCGGCCAGTCGCTGATCCGCCACCGCTTCAACCGTCCCCAGGGGTACGAGAACACCCTGGAAGCCAGGCAGGCAGACCCAGGGTATGATGATTTTGCTGGCGCCCGGCCCCCGGGCCTGGAATCTGTGATCGAGCGCAATGATTTGGACGAGCTCATGGCGATGGCGGACTTGGCTGGTCGGGATTTTGCGGCGGAGCGGGGGGCGACGCAGGTGGTAATCAAGAACGAGGAAGGGGGGCCAAGTGCGCGCGAGCTCGAGCAGCAGCGATTGGCTGAGGAGGAGCTGAACCGCGCGAGTCTCAAGATTCCGCGGCGGCCCCCCTGGCATGCGGAGATGCCGGTCGAGGAACTGGAGAGGAACGAGCGGGCTGCGTTCCTGGAGTGGCGGAGGGGGCTGGCGAGGCTGGAGGAAAACGAGAAGTTGGTGATTACGCCGTTCGAGAAGAACCTGGACATTTGGCGACAGCTGTGGCGGGTGGTCGAGCGCAGCGATCTGGTGAGTGGGGCTAACTTTGTCGGAACGTTTCTAGTTGTGCTGTCCTGGCGAGATTTCCAGGGGTTCGACTTGGTGAGATATGCGTTACGTGTATTGAGGCTGACCATTACCAGGGGTGCCAGAATGCGGACACACTTTATTGGTTTTCAAGTTGGCACCGGTTGGGTGGTACGGCAGCGAAGTGTCTCAGCACTGAAACGATGTGCAAAAGCGAGTCAATCAGGAGTAGCGAGGAATCAGGATTTTAATTGCTACATCGCATGCAGCATTTGCACTAAGGTCAAAGCTGGTGGCATTGCCATATGAGTTGTCGGTGGTATGAAGTATCTTTACTTTGGTAAATAGGTTGTTGACCAAAGCAGAGTTTTGCAGCTCCTTAACGGCGCCACTCCAGTTGCCGCATCGCATGCAGAACCCTAACGAGAAAAGTTGGTCAAAGGCCGAACCCGCTTTTTCCGCAGCATCTACTGGTATTCGGTGTAAACCTGACTCTGCATGGGTTACCACCCTGCTCCAAACCATTGCATGCCCTCCGCTTTGATGTGTGAATAGTCCTTTTGTTTCAGGGTTCCTTGACATCTGAATCTCAACCGATGCCCTCGTGCCGAATTGCGGGTCGACACTCCAATCTACACTCCATTAACTATTTACGCAAGGCACTTGTAGACCAACACAATCGGCGATACTATGTCACCATCCTGTTCGGTGGTGCAAGTGGATTGGGCTTCCAGGGTTTCTCAGCTTGTTGTGCAATCTGCGCGTGGCTCCTCCTTGAGTAGGCTCAACAGGTTCTGTGAGTATTAGCTTCGATTGTTAGAGGGTTCAGAGTCCCTTGCTTCTGTTGTCTTCACTTCACGAACAACATCAACCTTGTAAAAGCTACTAGTCCATGTAATCAATCTTGGAAAGAAGAACGATTCAAAGACAAGTCATTGGACTGTATATATGCCAATATCTCCAACCCGTCTGTGTTTCTTCCAAAAAGATTGTGCGAAACTGCTCACTGTCGGCGACGGCCCACAAACGATTACTTAAGTTCTGAGCCCTCATCTGCAGGTTGTGACGGTCGTCGACGCGCGCAACCCCCTCTTCTACCGCTGCGAAGATCTCGAAGACTTTGTACATGAGGTGTCCCCCCACAAGCGCACCATGCTGCTGCTCAACAAAGCAGACCTCCTTCCCGACGTCGTCCGCCGCTCGTGGGCCCGCTATCTCAAGAGCCAAAACATCGCTTTCCTCTTTTGGTCTGCCAAGCGGGCGACGTCCATTCTCGAGGGGAAGATCGCGCTCGAGGAGCTGGGCAGCGTAAACGTAGAAGAAGAGATCAGGGTCTGGGGGCGGGACGAGTTGCTGAGTCGGGTGGAAGCGGAGGCCGAGGCAGTGGTAGCGAAACGAGAGGCTGCCGGCGGGGCAGAAAGCACGGCCGCGAGAGGGGGCGGCGAGAAACATCAGGGGGGGGTTCACGCGGGGCACAGGAAGCAGGAGGGGGATCCCTCCGAGGGAGCCGCACACGCGCCGCGGGTGGTCGTCGGGTTCGTCGGATACCCGAACGTGGGAAAGAGTTCGACGATCAACGCGCTCGTGGGGGAGAAGAAAACGGGCGTGACGTCGACCCCCGGGAAGACGAAGCACTTCCAGACGCTCCTGTTACGGGACCACCCCCGGCTGATGCTGTGCGATTGCCCCGGACTCGTGTTCCCCTCGTTCAGCGCGTCGAAATCAGAGATGGTCGCGGCTGGGGTGCTGCCGATCGACCGGTTGACCGACAACCGGTCGCCCGTGCAGATCGTGGCGGAGCGCGTCCCGAGGGCCTTGTTGGAGGAGGCGCTGGGCATAACGCTGCCCGCGCCGGCGGAGCACGAGGCCCCTGACAGGGCCCCGACGGCCGCGGAGCTGCTGCGCTCGTTCTGCCGGTCCAGGGGGTACGTTGGGGCGAGCGGGCTGCCGGACGAGACGAAGGCGGCGCGCATGCTGCTGAAGGATTACGTGGACGGGAAGTTGCTGCACTGCGCGCTGCCACCTGGCGAGCTGGCATCGGACCGCCCCCGGGGGGTGGCACCAGTTGCCATGGTGAGGGTCGGGGGGGGAGCGATTATTGGAAGCGAGCGGTTCGATGCGGAGGAGGGGGAAGA